CACACTAACTGCAAAGACTCCCATTTTGTGCTTCGCACATGGGAGTCAAAAATGAAAAAGAAATAACGAGGGGAAGATAGGTGACTTCTGTTAATCTATATTTGCATAAATACAGTTATTACAGCATCACATTTTCTTTATTTCCATATTTTTTTTTCAAAGAAAGCAAGACTAGTATAAAAATTAAATAGTTTGTTGTGTTTGAAAATTCTTGTTTATATTGAGATATTATAAACCATACATTATCAACCAGCTGGTGGTTAAACTCTATGATAGAATGATTCAATCACTCAAACTCATCACATGACTCATTCTACGCACAGTTACTATCTTTTTTAGTAACAGTGTCACATGAATATATCAATCACATACTTGAACTTTGACCAACATACAAACTTCATACAGTTCACTGAGGGTACAGTTAACAATTGCACTGTTTAGAATTCAATATAATATTAATGGAATAACTACATTTTTTCCTCTCATGCCATATAAATAGGATTTGTAAAATCAGAAAGCTACAAGTGTCAATATTTGAAGTCAATGAATGTTTGTTCAATGTCAGGATGACAAATACATCCATTACCCACAGTTCATCAGCATGACAATAGTAACTTTTATTAACATGTCTGCAATGTCTCACAGAAAGGACCAAGTATTATATCTTATTTCAGCCGTAGAATACTGATATTCCAAAGTTTTTTGAAAAAAAAATGTATTTTTAGCTGATTTTAGGTTTTAAAAATGTGACTTTACTGAACCAGACTATACACAAGTTATTATTTAAATATAAGGTCATATTAAACTGCAAGAAGCAGATGGCCATTTTGCCACCACCTGTCGCTTTAGAAAAATATATGATTTATTGGTTGCAACACACTATGTTAAATCAGACAACCAAAGTCTGCGATGTCTCAAATGTACACTGAATTTATGTCCAGAATAGGAAGACTATTTTACTTGTGTCTAAACTTAATACTTAATACTTAAATACTAACATGTTTAGAATGCTTCTGAAACAGAATTCAAACAGCAAGGCATGATAAGATATAATTTAGCTAAGACAGGGAATAACTTATAAATAAATAAATGACGCTTGAAAACGCTGCAAGTTTTAGATTTTATTCTTTTATAGGTTACAAACATTATCAACAATACAACTTTAAGAACCAGACCAGATATTCACAGACTGAAAAAAATCGTCTAGCATGCAAACATGAGATCTACAGTGTACATAATAGCATGTTGAAAAAGCAGAAAAATAAAATTGAGAAATCAAAACAAATTCACAAATAAAAATGATGATGTCATAGTACATATGACATACATTTCCTAATATGGTAAAGCAAAATGTCTTTGTATTTTGGTTCCATGGTGTAATGCTTGAAGCAATGACATCACTTGTTTGCCAACATACTATGTCAATAGATGAGATCACTGACTCTTGATTTGAAATGCCTATTTATGGTCAAGATCTGTATAGGCCAAATTTACTTGATTGAAATTATAACAAGTATTATCACATGCACTAGCCAAGTTACTCCCTTTTATACCCTGGTCATTGTACATCCTTGAAACCCTTGTCTCTGTCTTTAGTTAGATACACAGAAATAATAGTCCTGTTTTCCTTTAAGTGTAATGACAAAAATTATAATAAGATATTCATCATAAACTATTTTCAATCAAAAAAACTATGTATATTAGTATTTTAGTAAGTCGTTGCTATACTGAAACACTGTATCCAATCTTCAGAAATGCGCTATGTATCAGTGTGACAATTTGTGCCTCCAATGATGCACAGCGAGTCTATGGAAGCTGTGGCTGGTTTCTCAGTTTTCAGCCTTTGTACAGAATAACCAAAGAGTGTTACTCGGGTTCAAATATTATGCGTCTTTTGGAATACTATGTTACCATTTATACAAAATATACAGCATTTATTCACACAGAATATTCAGAAATTACACATTAAGTGGAATAAGAATACATATATATTCTTAACGACAAAACCCCCCAAAAAGTCGGGAAAGAAAAACAAAATAAAAAATTCAAAATTCATTGAAAAACAACTTGGTTTATGCATGTGATAATAACATTCAGCTAGAGCAAACACTGTGGTATATGAGCTGTATCACTACTATAAGTCCCTCGTATCATAGAAAAATATTTGGAAATAATGTACAACTATGAAAAAAAAACAGTGCAGTGCAGACCATTGGAGAGGAGTGTAGTTCAGCATAGTGTTGTGTGGTTCAGTGCAGTGCAGTGCAGTGTAGTGCAGTGTAGTGCAGTGTAGTGTAGTGTAGTGTAGTGTAGTGTAGCGTAGCGTAGCGTAGTGCAGTGTAGCGTAGTGCAGTGTAGTGTAGTGCAGTGTAGTGTAGTGCAGCAGTGCAGTGTTGTGTGGTTCAGTGCAGTGTAGTGTAGTGTAGTGTAGTGTAGTGCAGCAGTGCAGTGTAGTGCAGTGTAGTGTAGTGTAGTGTAGTGTAGTGCAGTTCCCTCCAAATATTTTATTTTTTTCATGTTAATTATTTTCCCATATCCTTTTTTGTGCTCTCCACCCTAAAAACCCTGAAGCTCACCCCTTTTATAAAATGAATAAACCCCTATTCCAAATACTTACTGGGTACCCCTCTGCATTAATACCACAGCCCTTAGAAATACAGTCTATGGTCAACGACACAATGAACAACAGGTACAATGAACAAATCCGGCTGGACTCACTGTGTGGTTTAACTGGTTCAAACATGGGGCGGGGCATATCTTAAATCACAAATCCATGGCAAACACTTTGTTGATTGGAGCAGCCATTGCATGCGATTTCTAAACCAATGTATGTACATTACATACAGTCAAATGTGGTTTTCAGGAATGCACATACTCCAAAGAAATGAACTGTGATAACTATAG